ATATATATATATATATATATATATATATATATATAAGATAGATTTATGTGGGACTTGTTAACTTGGTTATACAAACCACATAAAAAAAAAATATATATATATATATAAGATAGATTTATGTGGGACTTGTTAATTTGATTATACAAACCACATAAAAAAAAAATATATATATATATATATATAAATAGGGCCCCCTCAGTGGCACAGCGGTATGTCTGCGGACTTACAACGCTAGAATCCGGGTTTCGATACCCATCGTGGGCAGAGCACAGATAGCCCATTGTGTAGCTTTGTGTTTAATTACAAACAACAACAATATAAATAGGACTAATAAACATTCTAAAATTTCTAAACAGTTAAAAGAAAAACAGCATAAATACTTAAGATATTTAAATGAAAGATAATTTTTTGTTAATGCTATAAAGGTGTAAAGTTCTAAGTTTAGATTAATTTCTTGTCAACGTTCAAATTTTAACTTGTTGTAAAATGTGATTTCAGCTTTGTACAGTTTTCTTAGCCTGATAAAGTCCAATTACCTGAAACCTTCTGTAAATAAATTATTTCCAATATTATCTCTTATTAACACATTATTTTAGGATTAACCTAATATATTAACCTCTTAATCAACAGTTTTTCTAACATTTGGGATCCTTACCAGCGGTTTTAAAGAAAAAAAGTATTCACTAGAACTGTCATCATAAAATAGGATATATTATGCCAACATAACTGAAGCTTCCTGGTGACAGCCATGTCTGTCAGGCACTGATTAGATGCTAATTGATTATTTGTTGAATGTGATCAGTTAATCAGCCCAAAAATTAATCAGTCATCAAATTCTACTAATTACCTGGCTCTGTTTCTAAGAATCAGTGACAGAGAGTAGAATGGTATAGTTATTATACAACATTTAAAGTAAAGCATGGTGGGGATCAGCAAGACAGAGGTCCCAATCATACAGAGATGTGGTGAAACAATATCTTGAAGATAATGAGGTTATTTGGGCTTATACAAAATTGAGATGGTCATAACATGATCAAGAACTTATCTGATTTATTGGAGATTAATATTGAACACTTGGAACAATATATCACAATCATTTATTGATAAACTGTTTGGCAGCATTTAAACATAGTGTTACGTATCTGCATGTTTGTTTGTTTCCGGTAGAAATACTTCCGAGGATCTTCAGCAATACAAGTCCTTTCTTGATTAAACCAGTTTATTCTTCCTCGATACAAACTTTTAATACACAATAGTTCCACAATCAGTACGTTTGTCATCACTTTTAAACATAACAACTTTTATAACATATGCT